GACACGAGCCATACACCTAGGCACGACATATGTAGGTTACTTTTTTGGTTGTTGGTATTATATCAAATATCCTGCCCACGTGGTGTGTGAGAAATGGGGTCACTAGTGTGCACCCCCCGGTGTCAATCAATTATATTCTGTTTATTTATCTCAATAACCGGTGTTTTCAGCCACTTTTAAATACAAAAAGATGTGTTGGTATGATGCTCTTACAAGAAGGCGGCCACCATGACGAACCAGCTGTTACTGACCTTCACTTGCAGGTGACATTTCCACACATACCTTCCTTTCTTTAGGTTTCGATTTCGCTCCATATAAACACACCTTAGGCCACTGCCAGGTAAAAACGTGCTATCTTGTAGTATTACTGAATAATATGGCTGAGAATGTATTGTGATAGAGCTGCCAGGTGCTTGTCAATGAATGACCTTTACTTGGACTTTTGCCTACATTCGTGTTATGAACAACAGCGCAGGAGGAGTGCTGAAGCCCGAATCGTTCAACACAAGACGACAATACAGAAAAGTGAAGTCATAACAGGTTTAAATGTTTTATGCAGATATAGCAACAGAGCCATCTGCAGCATATATTCTCACAAAACCTGCTGTTTTAAAACCAAAGAGTGTGAGTCAGGAGACAGTTTCACCTTCGAGGTGAAGTTTCGACTTTCATAAATCATGATTTGCCTGTAAACTTACATTTTTCTGACTGCCACAGGCCACACAAGCCGCCCTGGTTGTGTCAGTGCAAAGGTTAATAATAAAAATCTAGTGTACCTCATGTAAACACCGCACAGCTTCACGCTCTGCGCCAACAAGGAAATACAACAAACTGACAGCAACGTTAGCTGCGCAGAGATAGCGACAGTGTTCATAAGAGGGACTTTTGTTGTTGTTCAGCCGGTCGAGGCTATTTCGTCCAACACACACATACCACACATACACACATAAACAACCCTGCAGCCATATTTGTACAGCTACTTGTAAAACTGCACAGAAACAGTCCAACCCAGGCTGAGACACACCCTGAAAGAGGAGATATGTTACTCACCAACCCTTTGTATGAGAGAGCGGAGCTTTTCGCTTCTGTCTGGGAGGTGACACGGCCTGGTAGTCGGCGGAGACTGCTATACACCCTGCATGAATGAGAGCACAGACTTGTATACAAAGCCTGCCCCCTTTTTTTTTTTTTTTACTGGCCTACGGAACAAGTCCTCGCAAAAAAGAGCGCCCCCCTGAGGTCTTTTGTGCAATAGTAAGGGTTTTTATGAGGACAGCAGGTAACAACAGCAAAGTCATGATGCTGGAAATGGCATTTATACTGTACCCATTCCTCTATGTACCTGCATGGACAAATCTTTCTGCAATATAGGAAGTGGACAATATAGAAGCAACATCTGTACAATAGCCTTGCAACAAATACTTACATGTTAACTTTTGTTAATAAACAGACAACATATTTTATACACTACAACTCTATAATGCAGTATTCACAAAACAATGTATATTTAACAAATGTAGAATTTTTGCAGGGTATTTTATATATTTATATATATAAATAATGGAATAAATTATATTCCATTATATTGTACTGGAGTTCATCTATCAATCAATCCATCCATCCATCTATTTATCCATCTATCCATCTATCGAGATATATATATATATAGATATAGATATAGATATATAGTCAATAGTCCACCCCCTTATATCATGGTATTGACACCATCTCAAGTTGGGAAATGTTGGTTCCATTGTTCTTAAATTAAAAATGTAGCCTGAAATATAAAAGAAAAAAGCTCCATTTATTATCTAAGAATTGTAACATAATAATAATTTGATATCCTAAAACAATAAAACACTGCAGAGAGACACATTTTTGTCAATTTACATAACATACTGCGATTGTAAAAACCTACATGTCAGTCACAACTGAAACAGGCGTTTTCTCTTATAGCCTATTAGACCTTTTTATCTCTCTTTTTGCCCCAACATCCAATAGGTCTTACGTCACCAACATGACTTGTCATACAAGGAAAAGCATCCCAGTCAGCAAGTACAACACAAAAGGTACAAGAACTGGCATACCTAAATGAGATGCTATCTCTACTGTTAGCCTGAGGAGGGTGGACAGTCATCTGCTCTCTCAATGTTGCCAACTGCTTTGTTTTTCTCCTGTCAGCAAAGACCTTCACTGTGAGAGTTCTTGCTGCACTGAAGATCCCTCCACTGTTTGTGCAGGCCACTAGAGAGTTACCCACAGCGATTTGCTCATGCCGGCACTGCCAAAAATGGTGTAGCAGCGCATCAGTGGAGCTACACAGACCTCCTTTTTTAAGGCTTCTGTTTACCCCTATGAAGTATAACAGGTTTGGTGACCTCAGCAAATAATTGGAAAAAACCTGTGTGGCTGTGCAGCATCAGCGTCAGCCACTCGTTGTCAGTATTCATCCATCGACTGCCCTTATTCACAGCAGACAGGAAGTTCATAACCTGCATTTTTTACACACCTGAGGGTACGACTTGCTAAGATATAGAGAGGCAAAGATGGATAATTTAATATTCCGTAGCTCTGACCTAACCATCACTAATGCTAACACAACTAAAACAAACCACAGTTCTTACTCTTTAAATGTACAGTTTTTTAATCTTCTAGTAAAGTACATCAAAAAAACTTTCCAAACATACTTTGGTTGCCATGATGTGTAAAGCCTATCAATTGTTTTGCACAAGAATTCAAAATAAAATTATTATTATGGGCCGATAATTTATCAGCTGTAGTTTAATTATTTAAATAATTCATAATAATATAAGTTTCCCATTATCAGCCAATAATTTAAAGATATTGTGCATCCCTATACTTGTTATACTTGTTTGCACATGTACAGTTTAGTTTTTTAGTCAAAATATTTTTGCACACCATTTTACTGCATTTTGCATATAGTGTATATATTTTTCATTATGGTCTTATATTTTCTATCATGTTTTATAATATTCTTATTTATTGTACTTGTACACCTCTGTACTTTTTGTCCTACATTCCCCTATGCTGCGGTGTCTAATTTGGATTTCTCCTATGGGGGATCAATAAAGGAACATCTTATCTTATCTTACTGTATCTGGGCTTTCTGCCATGAAAAATAAAATTGTCTTCTTTGGAAGAGGTGTGTAAATATAACCTTAATTTTGACCAGTCACAGTATGAAAAGTGTAACTAATGACATTGACAATGTATATGTTCTATTCAAGTGTCCCAGTAAGCCATGATAGTGTGACAGAGAGCCAGCCTACACAACACCATGACCCTGCAACCAAAGCAACTTCATGGAATATTTACTTTAACAGTTGTGCATTTTCCTACCTGTAAAATGTCTTCCACAAAAAAGATGGTTAGAACAGCAAATCAGTTCAAAATCAGACACAAGACTAAACGTACATTCAGACACAGGGTGGCATTGTTGCACACTGTTGCAGATCATGGCTCAGTCCTCAGACAGAGGCAATTTTTCAGACAACAGATTCAGATTTTGTATTAAATTCCACTGTATTCTGCGGTTTGTTATTCACAGAAATTGAACTTAAGATAATAAAACAGCAGTCGTGGTTGATCCTCTTTTCTGTTACGCCCTAAAACAACAGCATGGCTTGAATTCAGAGGGACTCAAGAGCGGAGACCACTGCGTATTTAGTCGAAAACATCCACTGTTGCGGGTTAAAAGATTCCACTATGTGGCATTTAATAAGGCGACACACACCACAGCGCTGTGTGGTGAAACAGTGCGCTGTTAAAACAAAACAGTTGTCAGGAGTGCAACACTACATTTATGCAATTAGGATACATTTTCCACTGCCAATAGACCATTTTCGCATGAAATTGTAGGATAGACACAGGTGTTACCAATGATACTAACTTCCATTTAGTGCAGCAGAGCCTTTCCAGTGAGCCAACATGCACAATAGCAGCACCCTGACTCTGTTTACTGACCTTCATTAGTGTTATTGGTAACACCTGTGTTTACCCTACTATTTCATGTGAAAATGGCCTATTGGTAGCAAAAGCTGGCACATTTTCAGATTATACTTAAGATATCACAAAATAATAATATCCGATGATAATTGTTTAGCCATTAACAGAAAATCAATCATCCCTGACATTTTTACCCCCAGTGCCACGGGTATCTGGCCCTAAAGATGTGCGTTTGTTGTTTTTCACCCCTGAAACTGGAACAAATGTCAAGTCTCTTTTGACTTTGCCATGATTACCACAGCATAACCAGGTAACACGGCTTAACACATTAGCTAATGTCGTGGTGTTGTGTAACTATTGCACTTGTCTCTCTTTGTCTTAGTGGTTCCCTCTTTGAAGGGATCCAGACATTCATATATTAATAATAATGATGCATTTCTGTTACACAAAATGTATCATTATTTTTTTCTTTTTGCTTGTGAAACACTGGATACTTTTACTGTTTATGTCAATGACTGTTTATGCCCTCTTGTTTTGGTTTGTGCCATAACTTGTGATGCAGATTATAAGTTTACTTTGCTTTATTTTCAGACTTCACAAGTCAAACAGAAATATTATTGATATTATCATTATATACTGTTATTATTATATACTGTTATTAACAATAACACTACCATCATGTCATCAGTACTATTACCACCATCTTGCCAAATACAACTCTGCATCTACCTTCTATGTATTTTATTGTATTTTAATGCTACCTGGCTGCTATGAGACCCAATTCCTTAGGGATAATAAAATCTATCTATCTATCTATCTATCTTACTCTATCTATCTGTTGTCTGTCTGTCTGTCTGTCGTTAGATGACATAATACATCCCAGTAAATTCCCAGTATGGCCTGTATGTCTACTGCTTATCCAACAGAGGGCGCAAGATAACAAATGTTTGCCAAAGAGTTTATTCAACGTCTGCGCGTTAAAAGACGTCACCTCCCGCCGCCGCTCGTGCGTCGTACTGTCACTGGTGCGAGACAGCTGCAGCCAGCTCGCGCGGCATGTCGAGAAGCTGGGCTCGTGAGAGTGAGTGAGTGAGTCCGTGTCTGAGCAAGAGCGATTATTTCTTTTATTTTTTTTAAAAGCGAAGCTAGTCCAGAGTCGCTTAAAATAAAGAAAGAAATAAAAAAAGGGGGGACGACGAGCCCTTCGACACGGTGACAGCGGGCTTTTTGTTTTTGGGGGTGAAGGCTCCCCCCTGGACGAGCGAGGTGGAGAGAATGAGAATAGTGGATTTTGTTTCTACTTGTAGGTTCAGCGCCGTAGAAGACGGGAAGTCACCCCGAAAGGTAAGCAGCTACGACGGGTTGCTACTTACTGAGCGCCAGCCTCTGTTACCATACTGTTCACTCACTTTACAGTTATTAGCGTTTGTATGTTAGGTGGACACTGAATACTTCTCTTTATCTGGTCCTTTTGTTGTTGTTTTTGTTGTTTTTTTACAACTTGCTCTATCCTCTATGAACCAGTAAAGGAAGCTAACGTTATATATATACCAACTTCTCGTCAGTATACAGCTGTGTGCTCTTGGTATTTTTTATTTAAAAGAAAGCTGGTTCTTCTGGGAAGAGACTTCTTATTGCTGTAAGAAGTAGATGGTCTGTGGTCAGGTCGGTGAATGAGCGCTTCTCTAAAGGGGATTTCTGAATTTGCATCACTCTTCACGGGCTTTTCCAGCACTTTAAATACAATACAGCGTGTGAATGATGTCGAGGTATGTGTGCCAATAGTGTTTTGATTATCCACTCCCCAACAATCAGTATCCATTTCCTGTTTGGTTGTCTGCGTATGGAGCCAATCCTACATTTGTTCAGTTTCGTTTTTTAAAATGAAATTGTGTGTGTCAACATCAGGACCTGTGATTCTGACCTGTAATTGTAAATGCAGACATGCTCCTTGTCATTTGGAGGATCTCACCCTACACTGCACACTGTACAGACCACAGATGCTCGTCCAGAAGTAGGCCAGTCACTGGTCTGTATGTAATGTCATGCCATGCGTGGTCCCCTTTGGAAGGTTAACTGGGTGTCTCACTGGTTCATATATGGAGTGGGGGAGGTTTCAGACAGTCTGAGTGGAAGATCTGCAGCATGATTTAGCTCTCATCCTCTGCCAGATGTCTGGTGGTCATTGTTTTACTGTCCTTTGCTCCCCTCATTGTGTGTTTTTTGTTTTCAGTGTAATGTAGCCGACGTGCGTGTCGCTTAATGGTGAGTGCACATTGTCTCTTGCCACTTACCCACGTTTCAAATGCGCACAGATAATCGTTTTGTGGAGGAAGAAGGTGTCACGTAATGTTTTTGTGAATGAAGTTGGTGCGTGTCTGTGCTCATATGGACACACAGGATCAGTCCAAGTCCACAGACTGTGTCGTCTTACAGGCTTTTATGAGTTATTTATTGATAAGCTGTACGTGCACGCAACCACAAAGCTTATAGCATGGAGCATTTTGTATTTTTTTTTTTATTGTTGCTATGTTGAGCCTTTCGGGCCTGTCACATTTGGTGTGACGCGGTGCTTGTGGTTTGAAGAGGAAGCCCCACAACGGAAAGGTGACAGCGCTGATGCTGTACTTGTATGTGATGAGTAGCGTGTGAAGGCCCAGCATTTGTTTCTCTTTGATTGTGACCCTCTCTCTTCTCTGCGCTCCTGCTGGTGTCAAACGGTTTGATTTTTTTTTTTACACATTTTCAGATGGTAAGAGATCCTGAGTTGATTTTATTGAACGTGCTCTTGAACAATGATCTGACTGCCCTCTGATGCCAACAGGATATGAGCCACGTGTGAGGCAGAGCATGTGAGCCCTTCTTTTGTTTTTATGCCCGTGAATGGGCCTCAGTCAGCAGCATTGGCCTTTTTCCTTACTTCTCTGAGAGTTGATATAAAGTCAACTTCTTTTCCTTCTGTAAATCACCACATATAGGTATAGTTTGGTTAACCAAAATGATGAAGTGAAATGGATTTTGAATTGAATTCATAGTTTTATTATCACTATATCTGAGTGTGTCACTCACCAGATTTAATGTCCATCTAGGGTTCTCTCATAACTCCCTTCAGTCAGCAGCCTTCATTGTATTCTTTGGTGATAATATTATTTCAGTGAAGAGGCATCAATAGCCTTTTTGTCAGGCTGAATGGCGGCTTTATGATAGATGTCAAAGGCACACAAACGCACCAGTGTCACAAAACGCACCAGATAGTGAAGCCTTTTGCCAACCCTGCTGTGTGACTCATTAAAATGTCTTTTTCAGACTTTCACTGTTGTCTTTTCAGATGTCTTGGAAATGCAGTCTATGTGCATCTATGCCTGATTATATTGGTCAGGGTGAGCAGGTCAGCAGCCTGTCAGCAGCCTGTCAGCAGCCTGTCAGCACACAGGAGGGGATAGACAGCAGTAGAGTGTGTAGAGACTGTCACTTTATTACAGAGTTACGCTCACACTTACACTCACACCTATGTGCTATTTCCAGTTCCCACTTTGACAAACCTGTGTGTGTGTGTGTGTGGACTGTGGTCGGAACACCGTGGAGACACAATATGCAGGCTCCACAATGATGGTTGTGACTGCCTTAATAGTATCCAATGTTCTGCTGTTGTCTTTTATATGTCACTGTGAATTGAATAGCAAGCTCAAACGCAGTCAAAGTGAACGGACACGGTTTCTTTCTATGTGAAGATAAAAATGATATCATCATCACGATCTAGACACATGTTTAAAAAAATGCACCGCAGAATTATTTCCTGGGTGTGAAGGGACTACAAAGGTTCATTTTGTTAAACATCATGTCCTTGGTTTGGTTTGTTGGTCAGAAGCAAACATACAATGAGAAGAGGGAATGTTGATGAGCATGTATCACCTTTCTAATACGTGATTAAATAAATAGATAAAAGGAGAGATTGTTGATGATGAAAATAATCCCTTAGCTGCAGCCTGACCTGCTACTCGAAGTGATAATTATGGTACGGCACCGTCATGTGTTGCACCGTTACATTTGGCCCGTAGAGTGAGCCTCGGCCAGAAACCAGTGTGAAATCTGCATGACAGGAGTTTGTGTATAAATGAGGCCAAAGCTGCCCCCCCACACCCTGTCCTTAGTGAAAGTGAGGTCACACTGCTCCTGTTGGGACTGGAAATGGCTGCAGCACTGAGGAGAAGACTGATAGCTCTGTGGGATAATAGCCCCAATAGTTGTTTGTCTTTTGGCATTTGTATAAAGGCTAAATTGGCCTATGTTGGAATTTCCCGTCTGTTATGGTCTCTAGTTTGTGTCTTTTTTAGATGCCACTTCACATTTGTTTTTTTTTCCACATACTTAACCTCTCTCTGTTGTTGAACCATGGTGAAATGACAGTCTCCCTCCTGTGGAAGGCTGCTCCCCCGTACCACAATCCTCTGCTCCTGCGCTCGTAAAGTATCATTTAAACATGAAAACTGTGACAACCAAATCATAGCAGCGTTTCTGTTTAATCAGCGTGTCTTTCTGAAAACCAGTGCTGTGTGACGTTTGTAGTATACACACACAGTAGCTGCAGTGACACCTTTCCCCCTTCTGATTGAAACAGTTCACATTGTTATGTGGTCTAACACGTTCTGGTGTTTCGATGCATTTCATTGGAATAGCTGCGTGCACAAAAAGGGATGAGTCTGTCCATCCTTTTGAGAAGCTGAAGTTTAGTTGTTTTGGGATTTAGCCTTGTGAGTGGCGGTCTTTTCCAGCTGTTTTTAATTTGTTCAACACTTCGATCTATCCGTGCTTTTTACATTTGTTTTTGTTCAGTTTGTATCCAAAAATAAACTTTTCTTGCACAGAAACACCACAGACATGAAGTAATTAGATTACATTTACATTTAAACAGTTTATGAAAAGGTCTAACTACCCGTCTGCAACCGGTTAAACGGTTTGGGCCTGTTTATTCAGGTTTTTATATGGAGTATTTTTATTCTGTTTGGCCTTTTAAACCGATTGGAATGAAAATCTCACTCTTCATGTACCCAGTGACTATCAGAGCTCATGTTGTGAGCGTACCGATGTGCTGGCCTGATGTTGGTGCAGTGACGGAGGTTTGTGCCGTTTTTAAGGACATAAGAATCTGTAGATACAAGATGGAAATCAGTAACAACGTTACAGTCAGCGAGAGGTTGCAAAACTTCCCTAACCCTTTGTATTGTGAATTTCCCTTGTGCATTTCTTAACCGGGCATTATTGACAGTTCAACTTCACGTTCCAATGAGTTTACAAAGCTTTTATAATGTAATAGCACTCGTCATGAACTCTGCACCAGAGTTTTCCTCCGGCTCTTACTGCCAGTAGTGTGGTTTCATCCTTGCTCGGAAGAAGATCCGTTTATGAGAATGTGGCTTTCTGGGTCCTGTGGTTTTGTGTTTATGAATACTGTTCCCTTCACATTCTTGTCCTCCTCATACCACCCCTCCAAAAAGTGCCACTCTGGGAAACAAGGCCTCTTTGGCTGGCCCGCGACTCCAGCATCTGAAACTTCATGTGGTCATTGTTATATTTAGACACTCCCCCTCCCCCCAGGTAACGGTGGAGGCTGCAGCAAGGACCAGACACGGTTCCCAGGCTGGGTGAGCTGCAGGGTGAGCTGATAGAGCCTCTTTCATCAGACGGCAGGTTGTTATTTCCTTGGTTAAGCTGGAACGGTGAGTGTGTGTTCTGTGTGCTCAGCTTTGGAAAAAAAAAAGCGATAAGGCAGAGTGACAGTGGTAATACAGAGCGGAGCAGGACAGAAAAGCCCCCTGGGGACAACGAGCTATTCTGAGCCTTGTGCTTTTCCCCAGTCCCTGTGCTCTGGATGTTTGGCCCTCGGGTCACACAGTCTCCGTGTCCCTATTTTCTATGCATAAACACTCGAGCCGTACAAAGGAAGGGAGATGGAGGAAAGAGAGGCTCAGGCAGCGAGAAAGACAAGAGATCTCTTGTTAGGGAGACTTCACCATCAAGGCTTCCCAGCAGTTTTCTCTCATTGGCCTAATTTGGTATCATTCTTGTCCCTGTTCGGAAGTGGATTTCCTACTTTATGTGGTCTCTGTGGTCGCTTCAACCCAGTCCACAGTACATTTAGTTAGTACGCTGAGTTGCTGTGCCTGAACTGCCACTATGTACAAACATCCAGAGAGGAATCACTGGGGTGAGGGGAAACAATCGCCCATTGTCCGTGCACCATCACACCTGCAAAGCACATGTTTGGGGGATTGGCATCCATGTTATACATTCGCAGGGTGATGGAAGTCTCAGCGTATATCGTTCAACAATATTGGTCAACAGGA